CCTCCCTGGGTGCTCTCTGCCCAATCGCTCAATTAATCCTCACAGCACAGGTTTTCAGTAAATGATGGATGGGTGGAAACTATGGGGGACTGTATTCTCACTAACACCTCAGAGAGAAAGGGGACTGTGTCCAGTAATATTCCAGCTCCTCCTTGCAGACCTGGAAAACCTGAGCGTGGGGAACTCTCAGGGAACTCCAGTAACGGTCTGGGGAAACCCGTGCTCTTTTGGGTCCATTCTTAATGATATATCTTACTATGGAGCTGGTGTCCAGTCACAAGGTGTGATCCTCAGGTAGTGTTGTTACTCAGGATAAGCTGCTGGGAAGGCTGGATGGGTGCCCACGGTCACCCCAGGCCTTGCATGCTCCGTTGTATCTATGTCTTGAAATAAACTGATTCTAGGGTTTATTGGGAAATTTTTCGGTTAGATAAATGTCCGTAATGGTGGCAGTGTTCTTTTGTTTTAACTGCTGGATTTCTCAGCGACCCTCTGATGCTGATGGTGCATTGTGGAACGTGAAATTCCCCTGCGTTTCAGGTGCACAGCCAGTAGGACGGCGACGCTCTCCTGTAGGGCTGAAGAGTGAACCAGAGGTTTCTTGGGGAGAGAAGGAAGGGGATGTGAGGCAGCACCCTGGTCCCTGCTGCGCTGTCACCGCTCTCAGGGACTTTTTACCAACTCAGCAGAGTATTTACTGCTGTTGTGGTGTCAGAGCCTTCAGGACAGCCACTCGCTGCATTTAGGTCCGAACAGAGCTCATGTACTAGCTGGTCGTTTCGTAGATGCCAGTCACTAGGTTAATTAATAAATCAAAGACTGTCACATACGCGATATGCTCACATGTGAGCCTTAAGGCTTCTGCAGTGTATCTGACTTACAGCTAATCGTTGTAGCATCCTTGCTTCTCCCAGAAAAGGAAACAAAACAAGCTCTTGTACCAGTGGCACGCAGGTTTTACAAAACTAAGATTAATACTAAGGTTATGCTTACTTTATGCATTTAAGAATCTGATTGAAACACATATTACCCTTGTGGTTTCTTATGTGATGGGCAGTTTCATGACTAAATTATGGTTCAGTCATTTGCCTGAAAGTAGTTGGCTACAGTTGTGATTCACAAGTGCCATAGTTTTTAACACCTTTATTGTGGTATGATCCCTGTACAGTAAACTACACATATTTCAGAGGTACAATTTCATGAATTCTGATAGATGTATATACACTAGTGAAACCACCACCACAGTCAAGAACCATATTTTTAGGAATATAGGTTGCCTGATCCAGGAAGAATTTGAGCAGTAATACATTCATATAATCAAATGTTAAAATAAAAGCATTTAATTGATACAAAGAAAAATATAAGAGATTCCTTTGAATTGTGTTCTTAGTGAATTACTGTTAAATATGTTGGTATTAAGATCAAAATGTATAAAATGTATTAATTTCCCCTTTAATTATTTCACTTTATTTAAATTTTATTTAATTTTAATTATTTCGTTATTTAATCAGGTAACTACTATGTGTAGTCCCAACTTCAAAAACTTCTTATTTTTTGAACAGAATTTCTGTTCTCTTTGTGTGTGTGTGTGTGTGTGTGTGTATTTTACTGAAGTGTAGTCAGTTTACCACGTTGTGTCAATTTCTGGTGTACAGCACAATGCTTCAGTCATAGGGGAACACACATATATTCATTCTCATATTCTTCTTCACCATGAGTTACTACAAGATATCGAATATAGTTCCCTGAGCTATACAGCATGAACTTGTTGTTTATTCTATATATGTCCGTTAATGTCTGCAAATCTCTAACTCCCAGTTTATTCCCTCCCACCCCCCTTTCCCCCTGGTAACCACAAGTTTGTTCTCTATGTCTAAGAGTCTGTTTCTGTTTTGCAAATAAGATTCTCCTTTTTTTAGATTCCACATGTAAGTGATATCATACAGTATTTTCTGTTCTAAACAGTGGCTAAAGTCACAAGGTAATTCACAGCCCCGTTTTAATCTGAAACACAATTAAATAGTATACTGATAGCAATTTAAGTAGGCACTGGATGAAGCCTGGAAAAGCTTGGAATGCGTGAATCTGTAGTCATTGGCGGCCTGTGCCCCTGTTTGGTATATTCCACTCAGACAATGAGTCACTGTGCCCGCGGGTCCGTTCTCCCTCTGCCCCCAGGCGTACGCGTGGTGCCTGCACCTGTGTTTGCTCCCTGACTCCCAGTTCCCATCCGGCTCCTTTGCCTCTGAAGGACCATTTCCCGAGGCCAGGCTCAGGTCCCCAGTGTGCAGAGGGAAGCTGGACCGCACTGCGCTTTTCAGGCTCTTCCTTTCTGGAAACAGCACCCACAACTTCTCCAGTTGTGGAACTTCAGCTCATGAGTCCTGTCAGTCACGGGGCTGCCATCCCAACCTATGGGAAAACAGCTCAAGCGTGGCGTCTGTTCTAAAAGAAAGAAATAGTTAAGGCTAAATTTTGTATGTGTTAACCCTCAGTTTAATATAACATGATTTCATTCTGTTCTTCAAAGAGTTACGGGTGGTGGAGGGGAGCTAACAAGCCGTGTTTAAAAAAGGATGTTTGACTTCTCTGTCGCGCACTGCGTCTGTTTCAGTGACCGTTTGGTTTGCAGGAGTCACACTTGGAATTGGGAGTGTCGTCTTCAGCCTGGTGCCTCGTGTCCCTAACGGTGTACGACAGAGTAGGTAATCAGTGTTCATCCAATAGAACTGAATTCTTAAGAGTGGAAATACTTCCTCTTTTCTCTGTAGACAGTCTTTGTGGTTGTTAGCCTAACGAAGCCCTGGAATTCCGCTCCCTGTGGCTGTGAGTAGCGTAGATGAGTAGCCGTGGACTGTGAAGGCTGGACCCGCGTCTCTTCTGTTAGATTTGGAGCCTGAAGGCGCCTAATGCTTCCACACAGTGAATGTAGTCGGGAAAGACGACCAGCTGGTGGACGCTGAAGAGAAGCGTTCCTATGAGCCTTGAGTAAATAATTGGCCAATGAGTGAAAATTCATTAGCTAGATACACCTTTGTTTGGCATATCGACGTTAATTTTTAAAAGTCGCACTGTGTGGCACACGCCAACCTCAGGTCTATAAACGGTAGTAGGAATCAGTTTACGTTCCATAATTATGTGATGTATCGATGGATGCGCTTGGAAATCTCTGAGCCGTTGAGTAATGCTTCCTCCTTTGCCTTCTGCAGTGAGTTGACTGCATTAAATGGAAACATAGCTGAGATAGTGAAGGACAGTGATCCTGGCTCCGAACACGTTATTTTAATATTTGATCTCTATCAGTCAACTGCCCGTAAAGTCACAGTCATTAATATAACTCGGCAAACTTGTCTTCAAATCGTTCCTGAAGAAATCCTGCAAACTTTTCACTATTCTACGTTGTGAATAAAAATATATAAATCCTCAGTTTAGAGGCTTTCTCCTTTCTACTCCTTTGCAGGGAAATTGTTGTTTTCCCAATTTTATCTGTTTCACAGCATCTTCAGTTATCAGTTAAATTCATAGTGAGAGCTACATGATTTTTGCCATGATTTCACACGTTTCAATGAACGCCTCACTTCTCTGAGCTCCTCCAACATGCATTCCTTTACGTTTATTTGGCATCTGATCATATGCCCCCTAATAAATTTATGTTTACATATTTTCTTTGTGTACTTTGTCTCCCATGATGTTAATAAGTATTACGCTGTACAGACTGTATTAAATACCATTGAGTATCATAATTTATTTATTGAGTCAGTTCTGAAGGGCTGTGGTTATAAATACGTTTTACCTCCTTATTTGGAACCCTGAGGTATCGGACCCATTGGTCTGTGTCATCAGCCTGAGTCACCTCCCTTGTGAGACAATCTAAACTGTGAGGTGGCATCTTGTTACTGGAAGGGAAGAAGGGATGAGGTTGTCCGAGGAGAGAAGGGAATATTAATAAGACCAGCTCTTACTTCGGTTTTATTTTGTTAGTGTTCAACAGCCGGACGGAATCCAAATGCTGGCAGGAAGGAGGGGTGTTATCAGTGTTGCATGGTGTCTGTTAGCATGTGTTTTGAAATGTCATGTTTATTATTGGCCAGTTGCGTGTGTGATATTATAGATAAATAGTGCCCTTTTTTTTTAATTCAGAAGAATGGATAACAGCTTTGAATCAGAGTGTAATATTATTTGGGCAGTGTTTTCTTAGCATCTCATCTCATTCGCTGACTAGCAGGGAGTAAGAAGGAAAGGGCTCAATAAATACTTTCTTCATGGGCGAATGTAGGAATATTTCCTTTCCAATGCATCTTCTCTGCTCTGTGGGGGGAGTGGTAGAGACTGGAGGGATGTTCAGTGAATCTGCTTAATAGACGCCTTTTTACCTGGAGTTGAAACACGAGCAAGTGGAACAGTGATGTTTACGTGCCTGTGTAGACAGGCGAACCCTGTCCGTGACCTCCTGCATCCTGAGTGCTCCGAGGGCGCGCTTGTCTCTCTCTCCGTAGAGCTTGCGTCGTTGCCTGTGTAACAGTACCCTCCTTCAGTTCTAAGATGCTCACTTTTTTTTAACCTTTAAACATCATTTGGGGGTAGATGAACCTCAGATGTGTTTTCTGACCGAAGCTGTCTCTTGCCACCAGTTGCGTTTGTGCTGCCAAACAAGTAGTGGTGGACTCATCTGCTCCTTGGGGTCTAATTTAAAGTTGTAGCTCATTGGATTCACCCAATAGCGCTCACCCAGGTTACTCTGAACTACCAAACCCACCCGTCTGAACCCTGAATCTCGTATTATTTAAGGCTCATCGAATGCCCATAAACTTTAAAAGTTTTATTTGGTGATTCTTGGGAAACAGGGCACTATTCAGGCACTGTGAACTTCAGAAATGAAGGAACTTTCCTGCCGGTACTTTTGGCTAAATGGTGTGGGGTGGAGCCTGCTGGGGTTTTTCAGTGTCGTCGTGGACTTGTTGACTCAGTGGTGACCTTAGCTTTCCCTCCTCCTTCCCTAGCTCCCTGCAGACTTCACAAAGCTGCACCTCACTGATAGTCTTCACCCGCAGGTGACCCACGTCTCTTCCAGCCACTCAGGATGTAGTATCACCAGTGACTCCGGAAGCAGCAGCCTTTCTGACATCTACCAGGTAAGAAGGTGTTTTCCTCGTCACTCGCTTCGTTTTCTTGTGTCCTAAGCGGTTCCGTGATTCTTCATTGATAGGATGTGTAGAGTAAATACATGTGCATATATTACACGTGCATACGTGTACACGAAGTGCTAGTGTTTGTGCTTCACCCAGGCATACAGTACACTGTATGCTCGTTTTAGGAAATAGAACTTCCTAAATTAAATTAGAACAACTGTCTAATTGTGTTTGCATCTGCTGTCACCAGTCATGAGAATTTTAAATAGAGTAGCTACAATGGAAATATTTCCCTTGACTCCAAATATTTTATTAATTTGACTGTAGCCATACTAGGTGTACGACTCTTTTCTTGACTAAAATTTTAGGGGAAAACTTCTGAATTATGCTTTTATAATAAGCTTTTCTTATTAAAGTCTTAAAAAGGAAGAGATTATTAAGATTGGCTCTTTGAATTATTTTTCTTGCATTATTTTTCTTGCCTATAGGTTGAGTTATATGTTTAAAATAAATTCTTAGGATACTGATGGATAGAAAAGAAACCAGAACTATGGGATTTCAAAAATGTTTTAAAAGCAAAATAATTTTAATTGTTAAGGAATAGTTCATTCGCTTAGAAAATAAAAATTAGGAAAAGTGACTAAAATATGCAGAAAAAAGTCCTTCTGGGGAGTCTTTCAGTATATAAGCTAATATGGGGTTTTGTATGGTTTCAACCAAAAAGAACATCATACTCACTTTACAAAGTATAATTCTCTGCTTCTTAGGAATTGTGCTACGAGCTGGCCATAAAAACCTTTCTTTAGGAACACTGGAGTGTTTCAGGGTCATTGATGTATTCAAGCAGTGCCAACTTTCTTTTTTTAGAAAACATTACTAAAAGCATCTAAACAATCAGAATACCATCAGGGCGAAACATACCTGTTCAAGCCCTAAATTTAGTAGATCTTAGAAAATTAATTTTCTCTTAAGGGCCCATTAGGCACACACTTTTCTGTACTCCAGGAGTGTTGTTGAAAGCTCGCTGACCGAGAATTGGTAACCACAAAGCAATTATTTGCAGCTTCTTGGCTAATTAAGAAATTTTTTATTATTTTGCAATAAGAAATATAATTATTTGACTCTTTAAAGTAACCTTTCAAATTTCCACTTTGATGCATTAAGTGTTAACTTGTACTTAAATGTACAGGAAGTAATCCAATTTTCAAACGTTGAGAAGAGAAGGCGGTGGATCAGGGTAAAACTGCTCTCCTCCAACCCCTCAAAATGCCTAGTTTTTAGAAGTTGACTTTTTCACACGTTTACTCAGGAGTGTCCCTTGTAACAGAGCAAAGGACAGTGTGTGTAGAAGCTCTGCTTTAGCTTATGTTACTTGAAACATCACGATGGACACTTTGTCTTCTACACTTTGAGATGATTATACATTTTAAAGATCTGTAACAGAAACACAGCTCGAGGCTGGAGCAGTTACCACTGCTTTCTCCAAGTACAATGCAAGCCTGAATGGAACTCCGAAAGGTAAATTTATGTGATAGGAGTGAAGTAGGTTGTCTACAGAATTTATCGACGCTGATCCTGCAGGGAACTTGGGCTCTGTGTCACTCCCTTGGGTAGGTTGGGGTAAGGTCATGGGGAGATTCCTGGTGGTACCTCTGCTGTCCCCAGCCACCACCAGGACCTCTGAGGACACAGACTGTGGTGAGAAATCCACGTCACTCTGACTGGGTTGGAGCTTGCAGCCTGCAGTCTGACTTTATCGTGGAAAAGAGGACCCCTGTGTATTGTGATCCAATTCGCTTGAGTTTCAAGGCTATTCATTTCAAACTTGACGACAGGCGTGTAGCCTGTTAAGTTTATATCCTTCCTAGGGAAAGATCCATAGATGTATCCAAAGATTTAGTTTCTGATTATATCAGACAACATGGAAATCCTCACTAGACCATGTCTGTTGTCTTTAAATCAGAAACTCTCAGGTGAGAAGAAATCTGACAGGTGCAACTCGTTCAGGGACCAATCTTGTCTCCGAACCCTCCACAACTTTACTGTCACTCGAACATCCAGTTTATTCTTGAACATCCCAGTGATGGGCAGCTGTCTCCCCCAGGCAACCCTTTAATCTTTGCATGGTTCTGACTGGGGAGAAAGCTGTCAGGTTGGAAGCGAGTATAAATGCTCCCAAGATGGGCACAGAGAGGTTGAAATCAAATGCTGTGTGCAGGAGAGAAGAGGACAGAATAATGTTTCAGAGAGGCTGGGAAGGGAATTCAAGAGCGGAGTGGAATCACTAGCTTTCAGGAAGAAACCTCCTCTGTGTTACTAGGGACAGGCCATGGTGGGCTTGGAGCGGGGAGTTTGGGGTTGAGGGAGTTTCTGTCTGGCATGTCTGAGTCCTCCGTTCAGAGTGAGAGGGTTGGCGGGTGGGAACGTTTAAGGAGAGAATAGTTTCAGAGAGGAGGAGAGCAAACTGACCAGAGCGCTGAAGGCTCAGCCAGGTTGGTGCCCTCGAATGCGGAGTGATTTCCCACCGCCTGGTGCGGTGAGCACGGAGCAGGCAGGGGTTTGGCTTCTCCAGGACTACAGCCTCGTTAGAGTGTAGTGCGAGGAAGGTGGGAGCGACACGCCACACTCTGCATTTGCAGACCTTCCGTCAGGAATGTTCTCTCCTCACTTGACCGTTGTGTGACTTCGTTCTCCAGGACTGTCTTCTCAGAGACTTCTTTCCTTACTGCCCTCTGAAAAGCAGGTCCTCTCCTACAGTTTGGATCCTTTCCTGGCTAGTCTTTTCCTTAGACTTTAGCCAAAACGATGATTACTTTTGCTGAGTCGCCATACCTGCCTCCCGGAGTGGCAGCTTCAGGAAGACAGGGCACTGATCTGTCTTGTCTGGAGCCTGGAGCAGGGCCAGGAAGTTGTAGGCATTCAGAAAGGTGAGTCCAGTGAAGGTGACTGCACCATTGGACTAGGGACCACAAGCTGGAAGTGTGAGGGCGAGCCACAGGACGGAGAATCTGGAAGACTGAGAATCGTGCTTGTTTAATAAAAGGCCTCCTTGGGAGGCAGTGGAAGCAGGCTGAGAAATAGGAGGTTATTGGTGACAGAAGGCAGAGTGAGTGCCTAAGCTGGTGACAGGAGACCATGCAGTTTCCAGCCATGATAAGGTCCTGGTCACATGGAGTGACGATCAGAGCAGTGACTTAGGTGGACTGGAAATAATTGTACAAAAATGGACAGATCACTAGAACAGAGGGTTCAAGCAAAACGAAACCCACACATAAGGATGTAGCACGTAATAGAGGGAACCTCACGAGTCCGTGCAGCGAGGTTAGTCAGTACATGGTCTTCAGGGCAGGGGAGTAATTTTAATATCCTTGTTTGTATTATAATTAAGATTAAATTCCAGATAAACCAAAGAGTTAGCAAATTCTTAGTGGCATAATGACTGATCAAAACTTTTAATAAATTAGAAGATCAATTGAGACAAAGATTTAAAGTCAGAATAGTTTCACTTATGCAAATTAATTAGGAAAATACTCAGCTCACAACATAATAGTATTCAAAGGACAAGAGTAGGTAGTTTGCAGAAGAGACCGTGCAAATATCTATGCCCTACAAGAAAATACTTAAGACATTAGTAATCGAGTGTATGAGGATTTAAATATGAAGCTACTTTTCCTATTAAATTAGCGCTGACTTAGCTCCTTGTAATAAATGATTATAGATAGACATTCTTACACCTGTTAGGATTGTAGTTTTTGGAAAGAAACCTAACAGTTTACATTAAAAGCTTTGAAGGATTGTTCTTTTAGGCATATATATGTATCTCCTTTATTGAAATAGAAAAAAAACATTCCTAGTGTAAGATTAGGAACAGCATAAATTATGATACACAAACAGAGCTTACTGCAAGCGTTGTACTTATTTCCAAATGTGTTTTCATACTTTCTACATAAATTTATTTCCATCATGAATATTTATTAAGCAGCCCTCCTGACCATGGGGATAGGCGTGGGTGTTTGATATTTAATAAGCAAAAAGGTTTTCATGAGTGATTTTTAAGGACATAATGATAAATGCGTAGTAGTTAGTTGTTTTTATTTTACTTCAATAACTTCACTAGAGCTTTGTGGCATTTACTGTTTCTTCTGTTTCTTCATTTACTTCATATCCCTTAAAAATGCAAAATGAAACTGGTTTTAAGAACTGCTTTCATAATAACAAAATGTAAATAGCCCCTTTTGATCTGAATAAATCATAGAGCTTTCAGCGTTGATCTCAGAATATTATGAGAGGTTTTTTTTTTTTTTGAGAATATTACTATTTAACTATAATGTGCACCTAAATCTGTTCTGTTATCCATGTGGAAGAGTCATTAATTTAGGACAGGAGCTATTGGCCTAAGTGGCTTTATTTTTGCTCCCAAGACCAATATAATCAGATACCTTTTAAATATAAAATGTGTGTGTGTCTTTACTTAGAATAAAAGGGCTTAAAGACTGGCATTAATCTTAGCAATACTGTCATTTGGAGGAAGCTGGAAAATTTCAGGCATTTTGTTTATGTTTATATACAGATATAAATTGTTCAGCATTTTATGTTTTGCGACTTAGTGAAGCAGGAAAACATTTTATTGCTTTATTATATTTTAGCTATTTTCTTCATGAAGACAGTCTTTAGAAAGCTGGGTGAAATATTAGAGTGCAAGTGTTCAGTAGTTTGTGTTGGTCAGACCTGATCTTGAGTCCTGGTACAATTACTCGGCTTTGTTTTGTTTACACTGAACAATGTGTCCAATGTTCCGGTGTTTTCTCATCTGAATAGTGGTAACAATCCTGATGTGTTGAATTGATATGAAGATTAATTATCACCGATTATAAGCATCAGGTGTAGAGCTAGGTACGTGGTGGTCACTCCGTGCTGGCTCAGTCACCATTTTTATAATTGCTGTGTGAACCATTTAGCCAGATTTTAACAGATGCAGTTAGCCTGAGAGAAATTTTTACATTATGTCAGGGGTTGGGATATTTAACAGAGTTTGGGTTTTTTGGACAAATTCTGCCAATATAAACTGTGTGTGAGGCTCATAGCTGGGGTGGGGAGAGGGAAAGGTGTGCAGGCATTGAGGTGAAAATGTGTCCCCCGCAGAAGGGACTTTTGGTATAGGCTGTCACTGGCTTTCTTTTCCCTTATTTGACCCAAGAACAGCCCTAGGGATGGCAAGGTGTAACTCCGGTTTCCTGAGGATAACGCTGGGTTTGCACAGGTCCAACAACTTGGTTAAGGTCACACAGTGAATGCTGGAGCAGAGACCTGAACTGCTGACCTCTGGTTTGTCTGCTCATCCAGCAGGTGCAAGTTCAGTGACCCCCACGTTCCAGGCACTCGGGTTTAGCACTCTCTTCCTGTAGACCAGTCAGGGGTCATTAAACCTTTTAACTCCACTCAGTCTCCACGTGTCCCACTGTTCATCAGACAGTGGGATTATGAAAAAGTCAATTCCTAAAAAATAAATCAATTTTTAAAATGCATTATTTAAAGGAATTCTATATATTTTAAAATGAAATGGGTATTTATTTTAAATGAATGTTCAGTGAATGTTATTTGGAAGATTGTTTGTTTCTTAAAGAATGGAGTCCACATCGCAGAAACAGAAAACAGTTAATGGTTATTTACACAAATAGAGTGGAGAGTTCAGTTTCGGAAAGATTAATCCAACTTACATTTGAAAATCTTGGTTCTATTTAAGACGTAAATATAATTCATTTAAGTGATAGTAATGGTTTCTTTGGAGTGGTATAAAATATATCTCTCATCTCTTGCCATATGTTAGATGTTTAAGAATTAAAGAAAAACCTTAGGTTATATAACTTTATTTCGAAGAGTTTTTTGTTTTAATTTCCATCTTCCACAATGCCTCCTCACTCCAGGCTAATACTACAGAATGTATGAAGAGAGAACTGAGTGTATATTTGAAAATGTAAGGTGATGGCTAATAAACGTCACTGTTAAAGCGCAGCTGGGGTGAGATGTGATCATAGCAGGCCTGACCCAGCGGTCACGTTTTTAGGCTTTGGAAATAGGGCGGTGACACCAGCAGTGTTGGCCTGGTTTCTCTGACTGTGGCCTCGGCTGACCAGATCACATCCAATTGTGTTTTCAATTTCATGCTAGAATCCAGAGACAGTCCGAATTAGGGGTGTGCTGCCGAGCTAAGCCTCACCTCTCCCCCACGTGCGCAGCGCTGGCCGTGGTCCGGCCCGTCAGTCGTCCACGAAGGCCACTGTGGACACAGCTTCCGCAGAGGTTAAGCTGTCCCCTTCCACCTATTCTGTCTTCGGTTATCTTCCCCGTAGGTTTTTCTTATGATGCTTGTATTTCCGTTCAGGATGTTGTACCTAAAGAACGAAGTGTGATTAAAATTCTAGCTGTTAAACTGTAGAAAAAAAAACTAACTGATGCTTGCGTTGCTTCAAAATGTAGACTTAAATAGCGTGTTCTGTAATGTAAACCAAGACTTCAGAAAGGTGAAGCTTTGTTGATACAAAAACAATACAGTTTCTTCTGTAAACTTGACTTAAACTGAATTATAGACGGAGTGTAGATCGTCTAGGAGGATGCGTGTATTGAGTGTCTATTATATAAAGAGACCGAGTACTTGTAGTTCTGACTCTGGGGCCAGAACTCCTGGTTCCATTCTCAGTTCCGCAGTTACCAGGAGCACGATCGTGGAAAAATAATCTCTCTTCACCTGGATGTTTGCAGAGTAATAGAAGTTAATAAGGGCACTTACTTCGTAGGATTGTCTTAAGGATGAAATGAGTTACTACACAGAAGCCACGT